GTCCCTGACATGGCAGATCTCTTTCTGGTCTTTTCACTGTAATTTCTTCCTCTCTGGATCTGTCAGTCTGGAGGAAGGAGGAGGGTTGGTTTTACAGTGATATTCCCTCTGTTTCTGCTACACTGTGCTGGGTAGCAGGCTTCTCTGCTTGATGCAAAAATAGACTTTCTTACAGAAGACAAAGAAAAGAAAATACCCATAATTCATGTCTGAGGCTTCTAAATAAGAGAGATAATTGAGCAGTAAGTTTCTAAGTGTATATCCATATTAGCTAAAGGCAACAAATTAAAGATTGAAACTTAGGTTATGGCTATTTTTTCCTCATTAATTTATTATTAATTTATGGTTTGATGTTGCCAAATAAATGCAAACAGTATACATAAGAAGAAGCCAAAACCTTAAAGGGCTTGAAGAATATGCCCTACAAGGAGCTACTGAAGGAACTGGTGCTGTTTAGTGTGAGGAAGAGAAGGCTGAGGGGAGACCATATTGCTCTATTCCAGTACCTGAAATGTGATTGCAGCGAGAGTGGGCTTGGTCTCTTCTCACTGGTGACAGGTGATGGGACGAGGGGAAATGGCCTCAAGTTACACCAGGAATGGTTTAGGTTAGATATCAGGAAAAACTTCCTTACTGAAAGGGTTATTAAGCACTGGAATAGGCTCCCCAGTGAGGTGGTTGAGTCACCATCCCTGGATGTGTTTAAAAACCGTTTGGATGTGGTGCTCAGGGACATGATTTAGTGGAGGGTTGTTAGTTAAGATAGTATGGTTAGGTTGTGGTTGGACTTATGATCTTTTCCAACTTGAGCAATTCTATCATTCTGTGATTCTATGATTCTATTAATTTTTGATGGAAGGATTGTGAAGGAAGTCCCAAACAAAATTTTGGCTAAAGTTATGCTGGTAGCCCTCTAGGACCTTTCCCATGCATCGTTAACTTGTTCATAATTACATTTGAACCTCTGTTAAACCAGATTAACCATCATTGTTCTCCCTAAAAAACACACCTTTTGTTTTCCTCTGCAAAGTAAAGTAAATAGGATGTGCAGATCTACAGTGAGATGTGTCAACAAGCGAGTCAGATCACAGATATTAGTCTAAGCATAAATTTTCTATTAGATTCAATTTACTGCCAGTGCAATAAAACTGTCATAAGATCAAATGATATTTTATATGCATCATCCATAACACAATGCCATTAAATTGGAAGTATATAATTTTTCCTTTGTTCTTGTACTCATGAGTTATGAAAACTATCAAGTAATGCACATCATCATGCTTCTGCTTGCATTTTTTCAACGGATAAGTAATGATTTAGTCAGGGTACTTGGGGGCATCTAATTAGTTTCTGATTAGAAGGCTGTTCTGTAGAATAAAAAATAGTACACTTTACTGCGGTAAGGATCTGAAATCTTTTTGTGAAAATTTGCATAAAGAAATGTTGGGGAAAATCCATAAATCTAACTTTCCAAACAGACAAAAAAAACCCTAAGAACAAATCAACAAAAAAAGAAACCACCATCAGGAATAAAAAATGTCCAGCATGTCTGAAAAGGTATCTCAGCTTTTGTGGATAGGTGAACTACACAGAATTTATCTCTGCTGGAGCCCTCTGTTCTTCATTTCTCATTATCTGTTGTGTTACATTAGACATGCATTGAGTGATGTGACTGACATCTTCCACAATTAGCTCTCACATATAATTAGATGCAATGCTGACAAGGGCTCTGTGGCTTGCTATGGTTTCACAAAGGTCTTTCTATTTTTTTTTTTTGGAGGGGGGGTTCTTTTTTTGACACATTAAATCCATTGCATCTTGTTCTGGGGTCAAAATAACTGTCAGCCATTAAAATATCATCAGCTTCACCTCTTGGGTTAAATTGTTTTTTATACATCCAGGATGAATACTCTCTGGAAGTATAAAAAATACTGAGGATGTGCCCTTGCAAAGGTGCCTGGATCAATTGCCCTGTCCTGAAAGCTTAATGTTCAGTGCTTACTACTGGTTAAATTTAATGATGACTTATTTTCCTGATGGGAGAATAATTTGAGTCATATTGTCCTCTAGTGGCTCATACAGATAACTGCCCTGCTGACAGAATCCCTTTGCCTTGTGTTTTTGTATCCTCTGACTATGTCTTCATAAAAGTTCTTTCAGAAGAGAATTGGTGCAGTGGTTAAATTGGCACCTTAATGACACTGTCTATAACTGTATGTTGTCTGTTTGAGAAACATATATTTAAGATGATTCAAAATAACAAAGGACACTCGTGAGAAGACACTATACTGAACAAGAGCATTTGCTGGAAGTAAGTATATGCTACTTACTGCCATTTACAAAGTATTACCTCAGCATGAAGTTTGTTGTACAGACTGAAGAAGAGCTCACTTCCACAAAACACACAGGGATTTCATACGGATAAAGCAGAGCAGCACTCCTGCATTTCCTGGACTGCACACTTGTAAACCGTGACAGAGGCTTTTGCACTGCAATGCCAAAGCATCACCTTTCTTACAAAGTGGTGAAAGAGTCAAAGTATCACTAAGGTTGGAAAAGACCACTAAGATCATCTAACCCAAACATCAGCTTATCCTCACCATGCTCACTGATTGTGTCCCCCAGTTAAATCATGTCCCTCAAAGCATCCGAGCACTTCATAGTTGGGCATCTGCCGGTGTGATGCAGGCATTTGCAAACAGGAGAAGGGATCCTGTGGCAGGGAGAATAATGGAATGGTGTCTTCCATGACAAAATGCATACCTTCCATTAGAGAATCTGTCCTAGATCTTGTTTGACTGAATACTGAGAGTAACAAGAAACGGAGGAGGCTCTGCAGAGATGGCTTCTATGTGTATAAAAGATGCAGAAGTGCTGTAAGAGATTCATATTTCCGACTTCAAAGATAAAGAAGGAGAGGAAACTTTAAATGGCAAAGAAATATGGTTTTGGTTGCTGTTTGTAATAAAGGAAAGACAAAATGAGTATCTGGATCTTAGAGTTACCCTCAGAAGCTTTTTGAAAGCGGTGTGCCATGTAATATGCACCCAAAGTAATATCAGGATACAGTAAAAGTCTTTGATTTGTGTCTCCAACTCTGACTGCCTTTTCTCTTCCCCTCTGTTAAAGAATCCATTCCTTTTGACCTCTGACATTGATGGCAGACACTGGGTGAGCTGCAGAGTAGCTTAATTCTGTTCGGCAAAGCAGAGCTGTGCAGTCAGTGGTGCCCACCAACAGCCTCTGACTTGCTCATGTCCTCACACCTGGCAAGCACAGATAAATGCTGCCACTGAAGATGTGCCAACAGAAACAGCATGTACAAGGGCAGCTCTGTGGTGTAAAATGCCTTCACCTTGTGAAATGATCTGTGGTGCCATTTTTAGAGTTCACTCACAGGTTTGCTAAGTAGTGATGGATGCAAGAATATAAGATAACTTTCCTCTGATGCTCTGTGACTTCTCTGCTACTGGAGAGCCTGTAAACCAAAAGCATGCTTCCAGTCAAGATTTCACAGTGCATGTTTGTTCTTAATCTATGGAACAGGGGTGATTCTTTATTTTTTCTTTAACAAAAAGGTTTAATTTTAAGCAGTTTTTGTTTGTCACCTTGTCAACTCTTGCATCAACTTTTTTTCTTCATGCATGGTGGTGCTATTTTCCAGTGCTTAATTACTGTTTATTTACCATAGGTGTTTATCCCCAGTTCAGACTTTGTGAGTTTATCTTTACACACTTGAGGGAGAGCTGTATGGCTGAATCTATTTACAGCTCATCGACTACAACTTCTGCTGTAATGACTTCTTAACTGTTCTTCATTTTCAGGTGTCTTGTCCTCCCTACACACAGACACCTTCCAGAGAAACCTGTTATGCTTCCCATGTGCATGTTTTCTGGCACCTTGGCAGAGAGAAGGCTCTGCCCCATCACTGAGGTACCAGCAGTGCTTCCCTCCAGCAGTGCTCTGTTGCTGCTGGAGGAAAGACAAAGCTGGGATCATTTACTCCTGTTCCTGTTGTTCAGAGGCTTCCCTGCACAGCAGAGGGCCAGATTGTTTCTGTGGCTGTGTTAACTCCACTATCCCATAGTGCATTTTTATCAGAGCAATGTCAGCAGAGTCACAGGCTTTCCAGAACAGCCAGCTGACCCTTGATGTAAAAGACCTGGAATCTGTTGGAAGTGATTTTTTGTGCAACCGATCCCTTGTGCCCAGAGAAGCTGTGGGTGCCCCATCTCTGGAGATGCTCAAAGCCAGGTTGGATGGGGCCCCGGGCAGCCTGAGTTGCCTGAACTGCTGGGTGGCAGCCCTGCCTATGACAGGGGTTTGGACTTGGATAATGGTTAAGATCCCTTCCAACCCAAGCCAATCTGTGATTCTGTCATTCTTTGATTCTCTCTGTCCAGGAACTGCATTTGCTAATAGGTTCAAAATGGTGACACTGTGTGTTCCAGACACCTTGCAATCCTGTCCCATGCAGCAAGACTTGAATTGGTTTTGGAGCAATGCTGTGCAGCCAGCTGCATGGCAGGTCCCCCCACCTGCCTGTGCTTCTCTTTAGTGCCTGCAGATATGAGTGTGCACATGGGTCTTGCTCAGTAGCAGCTGTCTTTGCAGAATAGATGCCGTTATTCATTGCTTTGCTGTATGAATGTAGAGAGTTTATTTTGGTGGAAAATGGGTGGTAATTTTATTTAGATTCAACAGAGTCTCTGAGAAATGAAACTAATGAGATGATAAAGCCTTGCCAGGCTTACCGTTTCAATAAACATCTAATCTGAAAAATGTTTTAATCAAGCTTCCTTATCAGATGTTCTCATTACTGCGCTGCCAGTGCTCACCTGAAAGTTTGGTTTTGCCCCAGATCAATTACAGTTTTGATTTGCACATTGAAATCCTTTCTATTTGAGGTTTACTTTTTTGTTTGACTTTTTCTGAAGGCAGTTTCAGTCATTAAAAGGGCTGTGCACCAATGGTAATGCTCTTGCATTTTCTCTTACCAGAATAATGAAATGGTGGAACTGCAGAGGATACGAATGAAGGACGAAATTCGCGAGTACAAGTTTCGAGAGGCGAGGCTCCTGCAGGACTACACTGAACTGGAAGAAGAAAATATCACTCTGCAGAAGCTGGTATCCACGCTGAAACAGAACCAAGTAAGCATTGGGAAATACTAGGTGCTGTGCTGGGAAATTACACCATTTTCTCAGGTTTCCATAATGTGATCCAGCAAAGCATTTTAATAGAAATTTCTTTGTGTGGTGGTTTGTTGTTATTCTTCAGTTAGATTTTTGCTTGACTCTTATTCATTCTGCAGCAGTGCTACTGGCCGTTTTTGTCATATAGGGAGGCCCTTTCCTCAGTTTTAGGAAAACTCTGAGGGACTATTTCTGTGCAAAACTTTGTAACAGTGGGATCATTGTTACCACAGACAAGGCTGCATCTTTTCCCTTCCTGTGTTTCCTCCCATCTCTCTCTGCACACTGACCTCTGTGCCCAGTAGCAGAGGTAGGTCAGCCTTCCATTTCCTCTCACTTTGTTTCCCTTGCTCTGCTTCCTCTTCTGAAGTGGAGAAAGGAGGACATCATCTACTCCATTTTTTTTTTTCCTGGGTTTTCCATTACCACTGTTCCTCTCTGCTCAGCAGTGCTAACCAACAAGTTTGACAAGCTCCAAAAATAGGCAAAGGGATGTCAGGTACTCCTAGTTTGTCTTTCATGTGTTCCCTGTGGCAGTGAGGTACAGCTGACAGCAAAGCAGTATGCTGTATTACTCGCTGCAGTGCAGAGCGTGCCCCCAGGAGCCACCATCAATCACAGCCCCATTAAGTCAAGATGCAAAAAGCAGCTGGGTCTGCCCTCTCTCTCTTACAAAGCAGAGCTTCCTTTGCTGCTGGGTGTAAACACTGCTGAGGAAGTCATCACAAACGCAGTTGTCTTTTAAATTGAACAGAAAAAATTTGTTCTCATGTCAGAAAACTGAGCTTGCCATGATAAATAAGTAAGTATCCAAGTTGGAGGATGAAAGTTTCTTTTAGATACTTCCCAGATCAACATAACATCACATGCAGGATGAGCATTTCCCCAGCTTCCACCAAATTGCAGTAACACTGCTCTGCAGCACCTGTGTTACATCCCAGCCTAGCAAACAGTTCCATTAGGGCCTGTAACAAATAGCCAAGGCTGCCAGATTCTTATGGCAGCTTGTTAGCTTACTTATTCCTGCAGGAATATGCAGTACTATTTCATCAATCTGCTATTCTACCCTGCTAGCGCAAATGCAATTGAAACGTTTAGAACAATGGAGCAGAGCCGCAGGGAATGCACAGGTAATGCAAGTGAGTATGCTTTCCCTTATTTATGACCCAGGCTTTCATGCTCCTAGCACTGAATTTCTAGCAGCTCATCTTTGTGTCAGAGTTATTTACCAAGCCAGCAAATTCCCTCATGGAAGCATCTATTTTTTCCTTACCAAGCTCATAGGAGGCATTTTTGCAGGGGAAAAAAAAATAAATTAAAGATCACTTTACAGGCCATGCTAGCTTCCACCAGAATAAAATCTGTTTGCCAGTGTTTGCATTTGTCATAATACTTCATTCTTAATGGAACCAAATGCCGGAGTATAGGGAGGAAAAAAAAGCACTTTTGCATTGAGAGTGACTTTGAAAATCAGTCATTTTGTATAACAAACCCATGTGCTTGTGATAGCAGAACCAATTCTGACCTACAGGGTAAAATATCAAGAGCAATTTTGTACTATACTACTGCTGTTTACAAAACGATATGTTACAAGTCATGTTGAGAAATTGTCATAATCTCCTTGTTGGTTTGTTTTCTGGGAGGGCTTGTTTGTTTATTTCTTTGGTTGGTAGCTTTTGTAGGAAAGTATCCATGCTACTGTATAGACGTCCAGTTTTTCATGCCCTTAAATTATAAACATATCTATTTGATTGGATTTCATAATTTTTTAGATGGCCCTCTCCCTCCACTCAAATATACCAGGGAATGCAAATTTCAAAATACCACAGATTTCCCTTTTCTACTTAGCATTTCCCAACATAATTTGTGAACTCCATTTGTTGTCTGAATCTTTTTCATTCTCTTTGTTTGAAGATTGGTGCTTTGTGTTTTAAGCTTTCCTTCCCAAAGGCTTCTAGCTGTAAGACTTTTGACAGGTTGGTAAACATTCTACTCCAAAAAAAGTGGTTGCTGTTTCTGTTTTCACCAGAATCTTAATATAGTTTTAAAATAAAATTATAAATGAGAAAGTATTCTAGACAATGCCTTAAAATTGCACATTTTACATATTAGAAATGTATCAACTGAAAAAAGATATATTTTTTTTAATAGAAGCATGAGTTCAATATTTCTTCTTTCACCAAACCATTAAATTATTTCACCCAATACGGGGAATTTTTGGCATTTGGAAATTAAAAAGTGGATCTTAGAGTTTAAAGGGATTGTATGAATAGTTTGCTGTTTAATTCTTAAAACGAAATACCTCTTGAATAAAGGAGAATCTCATTTAACACAGAAGAGAGCTGAGACTATCCTGCAGTTTCTGTCCCTTCCTTCAGTATTTTTGAACTCTAGTAAGACACCCAGACACTTCAGAATATCCATGCCTGAGTGACTTTACATCTGGGAAGTATTTAGATATGAAGTATTCTGCAGAGCACTTGCCATTAATTAATCAGATTACGTTAACCTGAGATCTATACATACCATGATATACCAATGTTGCTTATGGTAATTCATAATAAAAACACACCTCCATGAAGTATGAGGGCTGCTCCAAAGGTAAAGCCACATATTTTATTATGTTGGCCCGTGATCTCCGAGGTGGTTGTTGTTGGTATAGCAGTAGAGATCGAACCTTACCAACAATATTCCATTACATTTTGTTGCTGTGTGACAGATGGCAGCAGAGGGGCAGTCTGGCAGAATGGCATCTGATATGGAAGTGCATATGAAGCAAAAGTGTGTCACTGAATTCCTCCATGAGGAAAAAATGGCACTTGGTGATATTCATCAATGCTTGCTGAAAGTTTATGGACACAAACAGGGGATGTGATCACAGTGAGGGGATGGGTGGTGAGTTTCAGCAGTGGTGACAGCAAAGTGAAAGACAAGCTGTGTTCTGGATGGCTGTGCAGATATTTATGAGCTCAGTATGCAGACTTGTTCATTTCTGGCAAAAAAATGCACAGCTAATGGTGGTGTCTGTGATGAAAGAGCGTTTTGGAGCTGAGAATGTACTCTATTAAGTAGTGTTACTGTGCTCTTTGTATCCATTTTACTTTCCATGGAAATAAATAGGAGGCAGTACTTTTGGACCTACCTAAGTACGTTGTTCATAGTCAAAAGTTACTTGGAAAAAAGTATAATGTTTCTTGATTCTCTCCATGTTGAAAAAATGAGCAATGGAATTTTCAACAGAGAGAGCTTCACACATGTTTTCTATGGAGATGATTCTTTGCAGCTGCAGGCAATATGTGGTATTTCACGTTGCATTTCCTGTAGCACTTACTTCAATAGGGCTGATAAATGGCAGGTTTTCATGACTCAAGTTTTAGTATTATGAATGTTCTTTGTCTTCTCTAATTCAGGTTGAATACGAAGGCTTAAAGCATGAGATTAAACGATTTGAGGAGGAGACAGTATTGCTTAATAGTCAGCTAGAAGATGCCATCCGGCTGAAGGAGATTGCTGAGCATCAGCTGGAGGAAGCTCTGGAAACTTTAAAAAATGAAAGGGAGCAAAAGAACAATCTGAGAAAGGAACTCTCCCAGTACATCAACCTCAATGATAGTATGTATAATAATCATATTAATATATCAGTAGATGGATTGAAGTTTGCAGAAGATACAAGTGAGCCCAACAATGATGACAAAATGAATGGACATATCCATGGGTCTCTTGTGAAACTTAACGGTGACTACCGAACTCCCACGAGTAGGAAAGGAGAATCTCTGCACCCCGTCTCTGACCTCTTCAGTGAGCTCAACATATCAGAAATACAGAAACTGAAGCAGCAACTCATGCAGGTAAGAGTTTTGTTTAATATCTTAAAGCTTTTGGACACACATCATATGGACCCTGGTTCCAGCTTTTGCACTGACCTCAACTTCTCTCAGTGATGTTCTTGACTATACCACATTTCAGACTTTTTGCTTCATATTCAGGTTTTGCTAAAGATAACCCAAAAAGACATTTCTGTCTGCACAGAGTTGGTATAAGCTGAGCTGATGTTTAAGGGGAAGAGGAGGAAGTAATTTAGTTACTGTAGTTGCAGATAGTTGGATTTTCTTCTGTTTAATAAAGGGAGATGTCTCTGAGGTTGCAAGTGGAATCAAGTACTCTTCAGAATGACCAAAGCTTTCTAGAAAAAGAAATAACACTGAAATACAGACAGACTTATCAATAAATGCAGTTTGAGCAAGATTTAGTCATCAAGAGAGAACAAAAGGAGAGGAGCATTTCTTTTAATACCTAGCATTAGAATAATAGAATGTCCCAATTTGGAAAGCACCCACAAGGATCATCAAACTCAGCTCCTGGACCCACCCTGCACCACCAAAGCATCTGCACAGCATCCAAACCCTATGTTTGACAATACTGTCTAAACACTCCTTGAACTCTGGCACTCAGGGCCGTGCCCACTGCCCTGTGCAGCCCGTTCCATGCCCACCACCGTGTGGTGCAGACCTGTCCCTCACCCCCAGCTGCCCTCCCCTGACACAGCTCCATGCCGTTCCCTCGGGCCCTGTCGCTGTCACACAGAGCAGAGCTCAGCGCTGCCCCTCCGCTCCCTGTGAGGAGCTGCAGCCGCCATCAGGCCTCCCCTCAGCTCCTCTGCTCTGCGCTGAGCAAACACAGGGACCTCAGCCGCTCCTCACACACCCTGTCCTCCAGATGCTTCACCATCTAGGCAGCCCTCCTTTGGGCACTCATAGTTTTATGTCCTTTTTTACTGTGTCACCCAAACCTGCACCCAGTGCTCGAGGTGAAGCTGCACAGTGCAGAGCAGAGCAGGACAACCCCTTCCCTCACCCAGCGTCAATGCTGTTCCTGATGCACCCTAGGGCATAGTTTGGCCCTTTGGGCTGCCAGGGCACACTGCTGATACAGATTCAACTTGCCATCAGCCATAACCCCCAAACCCCTTTCCACAGGGCTACTGTCCAGCCTCTCATCCCCCAGTCGGTACATAGATCCAGGATTCCCCCTTCCCAGATGCAGAATCCGACACTTGCTTTTGCTAAATTTGTTGTGCTCTCCTGTTCAGTCCAAACATATCCAGAATAGGAGTTTGTGGAGTGAGCCAGATAAAAACTCAAGTTAGCATCCCAGTGCTGGCTTCATCTTAGACAGGATACAGTGCAATGCAGTGAGGGGGTCCCACTGCCCAAGCTGTTAAACATCAATTCTGCCAGTAGAGCTTGAAAGAGTTTGGCACCTTCAGGGAAACATCTGGCACTTTCTAGCTGGGGACTGTCAAAAGTACCTCTTCTAGAGTGACACCTACTTAAAATGAAAGAGACTATTTGGAGGTAAAGGTGAAGAAGCCCAATTTGCAGCTCTTGCTGAAGAACAAGAAATCCCTACATAGGCTGCCCTATATTTGCTGAAGCGTTAATTGTTTTATTTACTTCATTGCCAAACACAGCATGGGAAGTTTTGATCTGAGCTTTGACATGGGAAATGATGATATCTATTGCTTTACGCAGATAGCTTTGATGCAGAAAGTGCATAATTTAACTAGAAAAGCTTGAAATTAGGAGTTTCACTCCTGTGAAAAATTCTGTGTATTCAGTATTACAGTAGATTTTGTATGTTTATTTTGGTTGTATATTCATTTGAATAAAGATTCATATGTATGTATACATTTATGCATATATTTTATGCACATGTTACATGCATCTTTTGATTTCATTCAGAAATACAGTGCTAAAAACTATACAACTCAGAAAAAAATCTATGAAATATTCACATTTTAATATGCATCTCAATCATTTTCAAGCATAATTTACAATTAAGTAAATGCAAAATAAATACATAACAAAAGATGTTTGAAAATGAAAAAACATGACTTTTTGGCTGTATTCTGTCTTGATTTATTGAATATTGAGCATGATGAATCAGCAAACTTCCACTTGAAAATTACTGCAAATGTTTTTGTCACTTCTGATTTTAACATTACTTATTTTTAGTACGCTTCTTAAACAAAGAAAGAGTCAGCTTTCTGATGCTTACCAGCCAGATTCTGTCCTAGGACCCTAGAAGGAGCCCAGAGAATAAATATAACCATTTCTTGGTTTTAGTGGCTTTGTTGAGCCTCAGCAAACTCACACAAGTTGCCTTCAACATCATTCAGCATTGTAGGGATGTTAAAAGGATTGAAAAAGAGAGACAAGTCTAGCAGGACACTTTTATTTAGATACTGGGAAGGCTTGCTGCAAGCTGCTGATGTTTTCTCTTTATAAAGTAATCATCTTCTCTGTTAGGTTGTCTCAACTCACCTTGAGTCACACAAATTAACTGTGAAAAATTCCTCCAAAAATTTTCTCCACAGTAAATGGGAGGTTTAATTGGGTTCAAGCTGACAAAAGGTAATTCTTTAACAAAACTGTTTTTTTTTCTCCTTAGCAATGTCTTTGCCATGTGGCATTCAGACAGTTATATCTCAACATTTGGCATATGCTCCTCTCATTTACTCAAAGAAGATGTACTATGATAGAGCTGCTGAAGATGATCCTCTCTTGGGAAGTATGCTTATGTGATTAGGACAGTGGGCTTCTTTTCTGAGAGAATCAAACTTCAGATTTCCCATTTGTACCTGTGTGTGGCAAGTTTTTCACTCTGCAATCTCAAAAAGAAACATGTACCAGAAGATCTAGCATGATAGGCAAAGTTCCTTTTGCAGCTTTGGGATGCTAGCACTATGTGTTCTGTGTTGGTTCCTAGAAGAGGTGAAAGATAAATAACAGTGATAAAATTGGCTTTCATAACTGCAAACTATCAAACAGATTGCAAGGAAGTCTCATCCAGCTGAGATCTTTGAAAGGAAGATTCAAAATAGGTACAACTGCTTTTGAATTGCTTTTATTTCCATTTTAAGATGATGGCATGGATAATTTCTGCAGCTACTAATTTTGTCAAGAACAAACAAACAGACTGAAACATGGTAGTCTATTCCCAAAAATTTGCTCTGTGGAAATAAAAAAATGTCACAAACAAGAAATACAATTTTTGTCCCTAGATGCAGCAGAGCTATTACTATTCAGAAGGAGTACTCTAAGTGCAGTTGGAGCTTTGTTCTTTTCTCCTTGGAAGTAGGAGCACGTATTTTTCGTCAAACAGAAGTGGATTAGCTTCATCCATAATTACTGGACTGGGATGAGTAAAATTCAGTAGGTCTGTGTGTTTCATTTTACCTACTGTCCAAGCTGGCAGATGGGTTTTAAATTTGTGTGTTTTCTCTGGAAACAATCCTTTTTATTTGAAAGAAGTATTTGTTCCCAGAAGCCATTTATGTTCAGCAGAAAAATGACCATAAAGGTATCTACTGACTCAGATACAGTTTTTCTTCAGGATAGCTGAGATCAATAATCCATCAGTATCAGTTCTATCTGATGAAATTAGGCAGACACTGCAACAGAGTGCCTCTTTACACCAAGTTGCTTAATGGAAGGCCTGCTCTTTGGTAATGCATGCTAACGACAGATGGGGGCAGCAAGTAGGCAAGTTGTATTGATGATGTACTCATTGCCCTCAGCTATCCTCCTCTGGCACAGACTATGCAGTGCCAATGTAGAGCTCCCTTTATCTAAGGAGACTGATATTTTTTGGATCATAAAATAATGATGAGCTTTCACCCTGTTTTTTTTCCTTCTTGAGTCATCAGTCACCTGTGCATAAAAAAAATGAGGCCAACTTTGAGATGTTTTCAACATGGCTTCTATTTTTGTCCTTACAGTTTTTACCTGCAATCCATTGCAGGTAGTTATTGAAACCGTGTTTTGAAAGTCTGACTGTAAAACCAAGGGATCATCATAAGTCTTAGTACTTTGGTATTTTTGAGTAGCAGCCACTGCTTGAAAGCCTTGTTATGAGATAATAGGAGTCTGAACCACTGCTTGGAACATTTTGTGAGATGGCATTAATATCCTCAGAGTCTCTAAAAGGCTTTTCTTTTCCATCACTGAGTTTCACGGTGGCTCTTTTGACTCTTCCAAATGCTGCCTGAAGGGATGCTGATAGAGAAGGCAGTGCTTTTTGAAGGACCCTACAGAAGGAACAGTGTTGAGTTCTCTGAACTAGTAATTCAGCCACTCACAATGGAAGTGTGGAACACGACATTTTGTCTCCACATGCAAACATTGGCCTGAAATACCACAGCAGTGAGAGAAAAAGAGCAGTCAGCCTAATAGGCTCCGGATCCTGCTGCAAAAGCCATGTGAGCAAGAAGCATCCTATATCATCTGCTTCCCAATTCACAGCTCAGAAAAGGACAAAGGCAGATTAGTACTCCAACTTCTTGGAAAATTTGAAAATGAGATTCATTCAGAGGTATCATCATAAGTAGTGAATGAATATCTCAGCAGATAAAACATTAAGTTTTTCTTGTTTGCTTGTTTTAAGATGCTGTGTATTAAAACTTCAAAAAGAGTCCTCCAGGACCTCTTCTTCTTTTCAACATCTGTATTTCTCTGGATATTCTAAAGGAACTTACTAGGTCAGAATCAGTGGATTGTTAGTTATATTGTAAATCCCATTTTCTTCTGCACTGTCTTTAAATGAATGGATTTTGTTTACAGGGGACTGCTGGAATGGGGATTCCTGGAAAATACATATACTCAGGTTCCTGGTCTGTGTTACACTTGCACATGGTGGGTTATTTAATCTAATTGTGCAGATGTGCACAGCCATTTGTTTACTGTATTTGCATTCAGTAATCATGCGCTCCTTCATGAAGTTTTCAAAGATATAAATAAAAATTATGAAGGATGGTAAAGCTATTCATGGAAAATGTAAACGAGTCAGTAAAATGTATCAGTGTAACATAAGTGGCAACGATGCAGTTATGCCTATTAAGTTTCAGAGAACGTACGTCTTGATCAATCCAGTATCATTACTCTAGCTGACTACCCTTCGTGCTTGGCCACTAATTCTTCAGTGAGCAACGTGTACAATTGTGACTTAGTAATGCTGCAAATGGTAGCACACTTAATTTTATTGTTTAGGGGCATACACTTAATTTTATGTTTTCTGGAACCCCTCAAGATGTATATGCAGAGTGTGGGAGTGGAAGTGGTGAATGGCTGTTTGGTGTTGAGCAGAAAAGCACGGGTAGGATGAGACGCCGGGTGTTTTACTTTGACTCTGTTGCAGGTGGAAAGAGAAAAGGCCATTCTCCTGGCCAACCTGCAGGAATCTCAGACACAGCTGGAGCACACCAAAGGAGCCCTGACTGAGCAACATGAGCGAGTCCACAGGCTCACGGAGCACGTCAACGCCATGAGGGGCCTGCAGAGCAACAAGGAGCTGAAAGCAGAGCATGACTGTGAGAAGGGGCGAGACCCCAGCGAGGAAGCACACGACTATGAAGTGGACATCAATGGTTTGGAGATCCTAGAATGTAAATACAAAGTAGCTGTTACGGAAGTGATAGACCTTAAAGCAGAAATCAAAGCCTTAAAGGAGAAATATAATAATTATGTGGAAAACTACACTGAAGAGAAGGCCAAGTATGAGAGCAGAATCCAGACTTACGATGAACAGGTGACAAGCCTAGAGAAGTCAACCAAGGAAAGCCAGGAAAAGATGGTCCACATGGAAAAGGAGTTGCAAAGGATGACAAGCATAGCGAATGAAAACCACAATACCCTCAACACCGCCCAGGATGAGCTGGTGACGTTTAGCGAGGAGCTGGCTCAGCTCTACCATCACGTCTGCCTGTGCAACAACGAGACACCTAACAGGGTCATGTTGGACTATTACAGGCAGAGCAGAGTTACCCGCAGTGGCAGCCTGAAAGGTCCAGACGACCCACGGGGTCTCCTTTCCCCTCGGCTTGCCAGAAGGGGAATGGCATCGCCTGTAGAAGCCAGGACTCCGACCGAGCAGGTGACAAAAGAGGCCACAGAGCCTGGCAAGGAGCAGAGCCCAACGAAAACACCTACGATTTCCCCTGTCATCACTGCCCCTCCTTCCTCCCCAGTCTCCGACAGCAGTGACATTCGCAAAGAGCCGATGAACATCTACAACCTCAACGCCATAATAAGGGACCAAATCAAGCATTTGCAGAAAGCTGTAGATCGGTCGCTGCAGCTGTCGCGCCAACGTGCTGCAGCCCGGGAGCTGGCACCCATGATTGATAAAGACAAGGAGGCCTTAATGGAAGAGATTCTGAAACTGAAATCCCTCCTGAGTACAAAGCGGGAGCAGATAGCAACCCTGAGAGCAGTGCTGAAAGCCAACAAGCAGGTAAGGTGCCAATAAAACAGGCAGTTGGGAGTGTCTGTTATTTATACAGGTCGCTTGGCAAGCCTTCCCAAGAGGTTTTTTAGAGGAAAGATTTCACTCACAGGTTACTGAGCCCTTCACTCCATCACAGTGAGAGAAGGCCTTTCTGCACTCCCATCCCTAAGCTTTTCAGCTCTGTGTTTTCTAGCACCCATCCTTCTTATTCTCTGTAGTGCTCCACAGGCCACAAATCTTGAATGCCCACCATCAAATTTAAGGGCATTTAAAATAAATATTGCAAAGCTAAAGCACTCCTCAGGAGGAGAATGGCAGATGTAAGAGTGCAGTGGTCACTTTGGACTGTACATAAGCTGGGCATTTCTGTGATAAAACACAAGGTAAAATGCAGAGTAATTTTCTTTACAGGTTGTTGCAATTTTTAGAATGATTTTTGTTTTATTCTTCTTGTTGTGTTTTTAATCCCATAGGAAATGGAACTATTTTCTGTTTTGTTTTAAAGAAAAGGGATATCTCTGCATGATAAAGCTTCCTGAAACAGTAACTGCCATTTTTTTTTAAAAAAAGGATTCATGAGGGAGTTATATTTTCTAAGAACAAAAAAAACCCCTCATTATTTTGAAATGTTTGGTAGTTTAAAAAATCATCAACCCACTTTATTATTGCTGTTACACCAATGTAATTAAGTTGAGAATTAGAACATTCTGTTTAAAAAGCAAAAAGAACACCTCAATGGTGTACTTTTCAAGAATACTCACAATTTTTTTTGCTTGCTATATCCTCGCAAGCACCATGTATCTCATAGATTCCAGGTCTGCAAGCAATTTAAAAGTTAAATATGAGCGTGAAATTGTATTTACTACAGTTAGTTTCCTTATGCTCCAAATTAAGTCTGAATGAAAGAGGCTGCAAGGACAGAGTCGCTGTTCCAGATTGCCCAGGACTTTTTCCATCTTCAGTAATGCTGTAGTCACCACATGGGGGCATAAATGCTGGTTAACGGAATGGGATCCCGTTCTCCAATGGCAGTGATAGGATTTCTGTGTTAAAATTCCCAATAGTCAAATGATCTGAACTTAAGATTCAAATTTAATTGATGATTGGATCTGCAACTGCATTTTTAGGTACTGGGAATTCTTAAATTGCGGCTATATTTCAATATATGTTCAGTATTTTATAGCATTTCCTCCCTTTCTGCAATACAACACATTAAATATTAATTCAATTAATCAAGTACCATGCCTAGCAAAGCAATAATAACCCTGAGCAATTATAGGAGGATTTTCCATGTAATTAAGATGTAGTTGAAGTATATGGCTTTAGATTCCAAATTAAAGACTTTTTCCATTAGCATAGACCTATCACTTATTTAGTGATACTAGAAGAGCATGTGGCTAAGTCCTACTCTCTTTATAATGTTTTTTATTATCATTACTACTTTCAGAAATTGAGCATCTTAAATTGTGCTCAGAACTTTTAAAAGTACTTTTGTAAGTATCAGCATAAATGTTGGCAACTTTTCAACTGCATATCAACTCTTGCAGAACTGTTCATGCAAATAGCATGCTAATAGTAATCTCCTCAAACTTTCAAGTTAAAAGACATGATAATACAACAGAGATGTAGAAATTTAGAGAGATGGGAAGTTAGTTCTACTGTGTTGTAGTAGTACTGCCAGCCTCTGGTGATGAGTGTGTCCCAAGAACCCAAAGCACATCTCATGTTCAGGAAACATGAGTCAAGATTAATTCCCTTGAGTTCCTCCCTCCAAAACAAACCTTTTAAGTAGAAATAGGTTGGGAATATTTTTCATCAGTTCATTCTGTTTAGATGAGCCTACAGAGGACATCTGGTTCAGGTTTTTGCATTTTCTCTAAAAATATAAAAGCTTCAGTTGTGATTGGCTAAGAGCATTGTCAGATCGTGAAATCCTAGAATCATAGAATGGCCTGGGTTGAAAAGGACCACAGTGATCATCGAGTTTCAACCCCCCTGCTATGGCAGGGTCACCAACCACCAGACCAGGCTGCCCAGAGCCACATCCAGCCTGGAAATGGTTTGGGTTGGAAGGGACCTTAAAGCCCATGTAGCTGCCATGGGCAGGGCTGCCACCCAGCAGCTCAGGCTGCCCAGGGCCCCATCCAGCCTGGCCTTGAATGCCTCCAGGGTTGGGGCATCTACAGCTCTCTGGACAGCTGTGCCAGGGCCTCACTGCCCTCTGAGTACAGAATTTCTTCCTAACATCTAACCTAAATGTCCCCTTTTTTAGTTCAAATCAATTCCTCCTTGTCCTATCATTATTAGACTGTGCTCATAAGATCCCTTCAAGTGCTGGAAGGCTGCAATGAGCTGCCCCAGAGTCTTCTCTTCTACAAGCTAAACAAGGCCAATGAAGCTGGTGTTGTTTTGCAGTTACGTCTTTTCGTGCTGTACGTTGTGCTCTGAGGCACTGCAGGTGCTCAGGGGAGCACTGGGGGCTCTGCTGGGGGCAGCGAGCAGAGCAGCTGGATGTGTCCTCTCTCATCCTAGCTGCTACAGGTGCCAGCTCAGCTTCTGGCCTGCTTTGTGGAAATTCTGCCACAAAGAGCTGTGATTGTCTTGGTAGTACAACCAGCAAGGATATTGAGGTGATTTTCTGGTTTGAATAATGCCAGAAAGCAAAATGAGCACGATTATATACATTGAAAAAATGGCAGTATCTTTCTAGAGCATCCCACCGTTCAGATCTGGATGGGGAGACCAGCAGCAGAGCCCCGGATCTTGTATTCAGTTGTTTTTCGATAATGTAGTCGCACCCTTAATCAGGGAAGCATTGATGCCATCTAGTGACCACTTCAAGTATTGCAGCATCACCTAAATGAACAGCTTTCCCGGCCATATGCTTCATTGCTGAGTGCTGCCATCCTCTGTTATCTAGGCACAGGGGCACATGGTTCATCAGAAGAAAACAGCAACGATCCTGAACTGTATTCACTTCTCTTTACAGTAAGTTACCCGATTGCAGGAAAGCACGGAAGGGCTCTCTGTTTCTCCTTCTGTTTCAGCGGTCCTGGCAGAGTGGCAGTGCAGTTAGAGCTTTTAAATCTTTAATAGCATGCAATAAATTTCTGTTTGAACCTGACAAGCCATTGCCTACCTCAATCCATTTGGCAGTATTTAATGCTTTTTAAGTCTTTTTATTCTAGCTGTGTTTTCTTTGAAAGTATTTTCAAATCAACATGTTAGTGTTAAGCTGGGCCAGAAATAGAAGACAGTGAACACTGTAACCCAGAAAAAAAGATGAGATTTGCTATAAGAATCTGCAAACCTCAGACCAAGGAAATTGATTATTAAACAAATCAACAGTTTGAGATAGCAAGTCACAATATCTTGTTGGCTTGCTTGCTTTATTTCATCGTGATGTACGTGTCTGTTTGTAGCCATAATTGCTATGTCAGCACCAGTTTCATGGAGCAAAACCAAGTAGCTTTAGTATTAACAAGGAGAATAGATTGTAAAGCAATATGAAATTAATTATATAACACCTTTTAGGACTAGTTCAATAATGGTTTTGATTTTGGTCTCTAACAACACACAGAAAGCAGAGCTGCCTATGAGAGAAATGTAATTTCAATTGAAAAATGATTGGTTGTTTTTGCAGGTAAATAGCTGCATGGGAAGGAACTGAGTCAGCAAGACCTTCATGTCTGTATTGGCAGTAACTCTGATGCTTGCAGTTTCCATAACTGAGATACCTGTAAAGTTCAGAAAACATAATTGAATAACCCTGGATATGCAACATCTGATCCATAAACAAAAGCTCAGATGCTACACAGACATTGTGCAGTGGATTTTGTCCAGTGAGACTGGTGGAAAGATTGAGTACCACATATGATTTCTGCACTAAAATGGCAGGTGGCTGTTCTCCTTTCTTGTACTTACCACTGTAGCAGCTAATATTCTTTCTGCAGCTATTTTTTTTTTTTATTTGGTTTGATTGTTCTACTCTTAACATGAAATAAATGAGATAAAATCTTCCTAAGATATGGAATAGAGAAAATGAGGTGTGTGCACAGATTTCTTGAGGGCCACCTTTAGGAAGCTGAATTTGGGCACGCTTCTCTTCTGTAAGGATAAAGAAGGGCATGGAAACAACGTCACCATTTCTGGCAGGACTTTGGGCATGTGTTCACTTCAGCTCTCCTCCTCCCCCCCAAACTCAACCTGCATTGCTGGATTCTGGTGGACAGAGGTGCTAAGCATGGTGTGCCGCATCTCTGCCCATTGCTGGCATTTCACACTGGCAGGAGACCAGGTGTTGGAGCTCTCTGCTTCTTCCTTACCTTCTTCTCAGGCACCATTCTTTGGAAGCAGTAGCACAGTTCTCTGCCAGCAGCTAATGCTAGGACTACAGGCACAGGCTGAGCAACCAGATTCACTTGTCCCACTCCTTGGCACTGGATGGTCTCCTGCCAGCACTGTTGTTAGCCCCTCTCCTGCTGCTTTATGTACTTCACTATAAAGCGTTCACATATTTTTCCTGTCTTCATCTTTTACTTGTGCTCTCCATTTCACTGTGTGCTGCTCAGACATTGCATTTTGGTGTGGAGTAAAGTTCTCTAATTTATCTGATACATCTTTGTAGTTACCAACCACTTAAAGCCAAGTGCTTCAGAGTCACAGAATCATAGAATGGCTTCAAAGGGACCTTGAAGATCGTCTAGCTTCAGCCCCATTGCTGTGGACAGCCTTAGATCTGGCACTAGATCAGGTTGCCCAGGGCCCCATCCAACCTGGCTTGAATGTCTCTAGGGATGGGGCATCTGCAGCTTCTCTGGGCAGCTTGTGCCAGTGCTTAATCATCCTTTGAGTGGAAAATTTCCCCCCAGCAACTAATCTGAATCTCCTCTCTTTTAGTTTAAAACCTTTCCCCCTTGTTTTGTCTATAGCAGACCATGTAAAAAGTCAGTCTCCCTCCTGATTAGAAGCTTTTTTTAAGTACTGGAAGGCCACAATGAGGTCTCCCTGGAGCCTTCTCTTCTCCAGACTGAATGAGCCCAACTCCCTAAGCCTTTCTTGCACTTGGCCTTGTTGAATCTCATTAGATTCTTCTGGGCACACTTTTCAAGCCTGATCTGGTCCCTCTGGATGGCATCTCTTCCTTCTATTGTATCAACTGCACCACTCAGCGTGGTATTGTCCACAAACTTGCAGAGAATGCACTCAATCCTACTGTCTAGGTCATTGATAAAGGCACTGAAGAACACCAGTCCCAAGATGGATCTCTTCAGAAAAAGCAGTTAAAAGCAAAGTCGGGCCCTGGGTGCCTGCTTCCTTCTGGCACTCCTTGCTTGTACACACATACTTTTGTCTGCCCCGTCCTCACTTTCAGAGCACTCTCTCCAGGTTTTTAATATCCTGGACTATTCCCCAGAACTGGTTCTTGGCACAGCCACATGATTCAGCTGACACAGTCTTGGAGATTGGCAGTGAGGAAGAACAAACAAATAATTTTAGGCTAGAGTTGCTGCTGGTGAAACGCAGCATGAAGCTGTGGCTTCAGTTGGCCTTATTCCTGAGCATGCTATCCATGGCACAGCCTAGCAGTGCAGTGGAAGGGACCAGATACTTTGGGTACCTCTCAAAGAGGAGATCCTACTGCCTTTTCTCTCCTCATCTATGCTCCCCGTTGCACATCCTGACTCTGAGGTACCTCAGGCTCATTTTCTGCCTGCTTGGCTCCTCAGACTGACTCACGGAAAGCAGAGAAGAAAACCATCCGGTGTGCAAAAGGTATGGCTGGGGAAAAGCTGGGTAGTTATTCTTTCAGTGGCAGCTGGCCAATATAGATTGACTTAGTTACCTTGCATCCTTAGAGCCGAGGAGTCTGATACAGTCAGCTTTGGTCAGCATCCAGGTCCCAAACCGATGAGCTCTGGGTAACCTGAGATGTGCACAGTCTGGAGCCCACCAAGTCTTGCAAGGACTGATGGAGGAGATGAGTGTTGCATGAAAGTGATGCCCTTCTGCTCCATTGGCCCTGGCTGCAGGTTTCTAGCAGAATCGCTCCCTGCTTTGTCTTCCCTATTAAACACACATTTTTCTTAATTTTATTTACTTTGCTGATACTGAACTCGTGCCATCCATTCTTCACTTAGGAGACTTGCAGAGGGAGACCCTTGGGAGCCTGCAAAGGAGAGTGTTGAGAGCTTGTCTGGAAGATATAAGGAGCATATAAGGAGCCTTTTAAAATAGTTAACAAAGAGAAAGAACTGTTGAAGTCTTTGTTGTTTTACAATGAAATGTGAATTTTGTCACATTTTACTTGCTTTCATTTTTTATTATAATAAAATTACTTTAAGACATTAAGGATGGAAAAATATACTTTCACAAGGTTCTAACACCTGGAAAATAATTTTTCTACCCAGTAGCCCCAAGAAAGCTACTGGGTAGAAAATTGTTGATAGTCTACAGGAAAAGCAGAAGTCATTTATTAGCTTCACGCTTTCCCACTTCAAAATACTGAGATCATGTTTTACTGAAATTTTCAGAACAAAGGCAATAATGGAACATTGCCAAGATTGAAACTGCAGTGCTTATGCATTCCAGCTCACTTCTCTAGAAGTGTAAAATAGCCAGAGCAAACAGGTCATTTGGATTGTGGCCACTGAATCTGTTTTGCTATGTCAGCCTACCCAGCCAGAACACACAGAGGAGATGCTCTCTGTGAAATTCTCTGGTACAGGATATTTTGTCCTTCAGTCTCTACTGGGACAGGGAGAGATTTTGGTTGTGAAGAGTATCAAGATGTGAAGATCAAGATGGAAGGAGACTGACTGCCTTTAACTATTTCAGTCTAGTACTTGCACATGGTTTCCACGATACGTGGAACTACTGGGTTTACAGGGAATATGTATTCCCAATGCCTAAATAGTTAAACAATTTTTTTTTTTTGAAAAGTCACACATTAGATGGAACAGAACATATCTTTAATTTAATTTTTATTCCTAAGCAAAGGAAAAATCTTTACATTAATTCTGTATTTGAACTGTCGTATATAAAGGACAGTACATTGGATTCCTCTTGCAGAACAAAGACCTCTGAATTCCAGCTTTGGGGCCAAACTCAGTTTGACCTATTAATCCCAGCTCTGCTCTCGTGAATCACTTCTGCCTCATTAGTGACCTGAGGATTCGTAAGTAAATCTGATTTAATCATGCTTGTTAAGTAGGAATTTGTCCCTTGACTCACTATGTCTAGATTTCCCTTCAAAAAAGAAGCTTTTTTAAACATTATTCATCTTTCTTCTCCGTGTTAATTTACATGTACATTTTAGTCATGCCTGAAAACACAGAAAGCTGATGATTTCTGATTTGTCCTAACAAGGCACAGGGTGGTGTCAAGCATCCTGCGTTACACCAAAGCATATGTCACTGGGACTGGTAAAGCCACATTTATTTGAATGTATCCCTGAGTGTTTTGTTTTGTTGTTGTTATTGGGTTTTTTTTTGTTTGTTATTTTTTTAATCAGTTGTTGAGGATTTCAACTTTGACATGGAAGAAGTTTCAGCAAATATCTATACAATTACAGGTAGTTACTAAGGATTTTTTTAAATCTCTCAATGTAAACTAGTGTAAAAGTAGAGATAACTTTATTGTTGAGTACATAATTGTGAAAAAAAAAAAGTAAAATTTTGGTGCTGTTGCCTGAAACTGTGCCATTTCCCCATGTGCAAATTATTGTGTTTTAGCAGACATTAATATTTTGTTAAGAGATGTTATTAGTGACAAATCCAGCAAGTTCCAGAAAACTGACTTTAAAATAGGCTTCCAACTGTTCAATCATTAGCATCTATTTTCATGTTCCCTTGCTTGCTGCTTTAAAATAATGCTGTTCTACAATCCTCTCCTCTTCTGATGGCTCAAGTACTCAAGGGGGAAAGTAATTGCTGAAATGCTACAATTTATTCTGCACTAAATGAAGTGAAAAAATAATGATAACCTCCCCACCCCTGCTAAAGGCAATGGAAACGTTTTTTCTTCATGTCATTCAATGGTAATAATTTAAACTGTCTCACAGCAGCAGTAGGTATAAAGATAATGTATATCTTTATACATTTTGAATAACTTCAAAATGGTACTAAACTTCATCAGTTCAACAAAAGATTCAACTCATGCAAAAATGAAACAAATATAACTATTATAAGCAGTAGGGCAGTAAAATAAAGCAAATTACTGGAGGAAACGGAAAAAACAAAGAAAGAAGGAAGCTGAGAAATTAAGGATTAGGTGGCTACAAATCCTTGCTTTACTTTTAAATGAAAATTCTAATTTATCCTTTCTTTTTTCTTCTTTGTAGTTATTAAAGCTGCCAAAATAATGTAGTTTCGCACAGCAATAGGTATTGCCAGTGGTCGAATAAAATACAACCTGCCACATTCTAGCAGTCACCTCATGCAAGGAAAGCTGTGGCATGGTGCATGAAGAAAAACCACATCAGGCCAGCCCTCAGCTTCCAAGGCTGAGTCTAACATGCCTTTGCAGCATGGTCAGACACAGTTGGTGGCTTACTGCAACCCAGAAATGTGGTAGCAGCTCCTCAAGCTGCAGTTACTTGTTCACTTGCCTGGGGCCTCAGCATATGGCTGCGTGGTTTTGCACAGAAATTTAAGGTTTCAAGTTGCAGACAGCTCATTAGGACTGGCTTTGTCCCTTCAACTTCTTTTTCCTTTCCCTGGCTTCATGGAATTCAACATGGGTGTCCAACCTTTCAATGTGCCTGGGCCACAGTGAGTGAAGAGGAATTGTCTTGGGCCACATATCACATATGTAATGTAGTTAACTAACTATATAACTAAGAAAAATTATTTTTTTAGATTTTTTTACTAAAACATTGGAGAATAAAAAAAAAAAAAACAAACAACAAGATAAACGTGGAACTAGTGGGATATTTGACCTTGTTTTGTGAAACTAATACATCGGTCTGGTTCAGTGGCAGTGGTTGTAATTCTTTGTGAGTTCTCAAGGTGCTCATTGGAGCTTTTTGATGAAATTTTACTCCTCCTTAAAAATAGTTGTTCACAAATGTACGTAATGCCAAAAATCAATGACATGAACAAGGTGTGAATGTGAAGTGAGGGATATCTTTCTCTGGAGGGATAGGGCTTATAAAAGTTGAGTAGAGAGACATGATCAGATTTTTCTTTGAGATGAACATCTGATTGCAACTCAATACATTTCATTTGAAAATCCGCAGGTAATGTATTTAAGTCTCCTGAAAGCAGTCAGAGATATAGCAAAAATTTGATAAATTTTTCAGCACTCTTGAAACCTATTCTCAAATTCTTCTACCAAAATGGAAAGCCACTGCCATTATGATGTGGGGCAGGGAGCAGCCACAGGATGGGCTAGGCCAGGCCATGTGCAGGCCAAAGGCCGATGACTGAACACACCTGGAGTACAACTTAAAGACAGCATTAAAGGGCACCATCTTAGCTGTTATCAGATATCTGTGTGATAAGCAAACACCCTTGTCTGTGTTTTCAGACAGCTGAAGTGGCATTAGCCAATCTGAAGAATAAATACGAAAATGAAAAAGCTATGGTGACTGAAACCATGACCAAACTACGAAATGAACTGAAGGCTTTGAAGGAGGATGCGGCAACCTTCTCATCCTTGAGAGCAATGTTTGCAACCAGGTAAGGGAAGTGATTTCACCGTCTGCCTCAACACTGTAAAAGTAAGTGTGCTAAGTGGGAACAGACTTAGCTATGTATGTTGGGTGCTTAAGAGGAGAAACAGAAATTATTTTTTGCAAGGTCAGGGATTTGCTGGATGAAGGTGAATGAGTCTTACAGTGCATGCTGTGAAAAACTTGCAAGCTTTCAAGTGATACTGAGAAGCATGTCTTTGAAAATAGGGCTGGAGAATAGCAATGTCAATGCAACCTTGAATAAAGTGTTATACATGCCAATATCAGTCTCCAGTCTATTTGCATTTATAGGGCTTTTTTAAGTGGAAATCAAACAGTAGATTTATATGGCTGATACTCATATTCAGAAGTATGCCATGATTCGGTTGTGTAAAGCTGTCGTGTGGGTAATGATGATCTTCAGAATCCTATGTTTTCATTATCGTGAGATTTATTACTTACCACTGGAAAAATCTATTTCATCAACCAGCCTGTGCTGTAATCCAGCACTAATAATTGTAAGGCCATTGCAATTTCACATTCCAGCATGAACTCTTATTTTCTCCAGCTGTATTATTCAATTTATTAACTTCTCCTTCACAGGATCAAAGTTTCACTTATCTTCTGTAGCATAGTTCCTCCTGACAGGGCAGTAATTAATCATCTCTCTTCTTTCATTCTACCACACTCAGAAGAGCTTTTGGTTTTAGCTGCTTTGTAAAAATTACAAATAATTTGTATTTGAATATCCAGTGATTCCCTCAAAAAATTCTTAACACACAAATGAGATAGTAGTAACCTCAGAAAATTTTTCTGTTTATGTCATGATTTTTTTCCCCATTATGATTAAATGCAATGCAGATTTCTTGCTTGAACTTTAATCTATAAGCAGTAAGACTTTGTGCCTCATGCCAACATCTGCCCAGCACTCTCTTGTAGTATATAGGTGCCATCTCACCTCTTCCAGCCTTTTTTGGTCCTTTGTTGCTTAGTGACAGTAGCAGCAGCATCTGGGAGAGATGGAAAAATGGAGGAGGGGCCATTTGCATGCCATGACTTTGGTGCTGTGTACAAATTCATCATAGGTTCATCGTTGGAAGAGTACGTGTAGTGCCATAATGGAAATGAAGAACCAACTCATCAGGTGAAGTGAACCAAGGTAGCTCTGTTCATTTCATTGACATCTAGAGATTGTCTTCAGGAAAGCAAACTTCTGTGTGTGTTTTTTTGTTGACTTTGTTTACAAACTCATTATTCTAGGAGTTACAAAAATGTACTAACTCTGTACAACTACCTGGAGGGCTACTAAGCCCTGAGGAGAGAGCTAGCATCTTGAGTCTAAAGCAAACAAGGGACTTACATGGAGCCTAAATCATTAACCTGCAAGATAAAACAAGTTTGGAAAGATTTAAAAGTTGTAACTTAAAGAGGATGTTAGGCTGTTGGTGTGCTGAATGCTTTTTACCCTATTTAGGCATCCTGAGTGAACACGTTTGCCAGACAGAACACTCATATCCTAAAGCTGGCAGGGGAGAGTGTCTTATTTTCCATGAGAATGAAGCTTAAATGGTGCCATCCATCTATATGCCTATTCTAAATGTCTTATATAGGCTGCAATGAAACTTCTGTTTCTCTTCTACAAACTATAAAGGGAATCTGAGTGACTTGCAGAGTTACCAATTTCCCCTTTATAAGTGTCTAATATTAGTAGAGAAAAAACTCACGCAAATTATCTACTGTTGTTTGTAAACTCCATGCAGTTGTGATAGAAAGCACACTGCATAGTCTATGGAGTTTATCTCTGCCCTTGAGATCATAACTTTTGCACAGTGTTTTCTAGGGGCAGTGATGAAAAGTTACTCGCTCACTGAAAAATATTGCACATCAGTGGGATTCTATAGATTTTGCTATAAAATATTATGCAATATTTCTTTTTGTTCCGCAGCTTGTGATATGTTCACCCTCATAGCAAAATCAGTTTATCTTAATGTTCAAATCATTGGCTCATTTTGAATACTTCATTGGGAATAGCATCTGTTTAAATGACAAAGCCATGATATGCTGTAGATGTTTGTTCAAGAAGATAAATCTGTTTGGAAATAGAAGAATGTAAGATTCTCCATGCAGTAACATTTGATACAGTAGCAACATTCATTAAAAAACAAACAAAACAAAACAAAAAAATGGTTGTTTAGTCTTGTTAAGTAAAACAGTTGTTTCCATGGTAATCTTACATCACGTAGTACTTCTCAATTTTTGTTGTAGGGAGAACATCCCTCTGAGAGTAGAGTTGTATTACAGATCTGAAAATGATTGTATATGCTGCTTGATTGATCAATATCCCTTCTGTTTCATAATCTCTTCCTTTCTGTTCATTTGACTCCTGAATGAATGTTCATTCTGGTGCTGAACTTTATGCTTTCTTCATCACATGCACTGAATGAAGTTCATGCCATGTTATAAGGAGAGAATAGCACAGATGATTCTGATTTGAATAACAAAGATTACAGTTTTCTTTAAAGCTCCTCTATGCAGAAGGCAGGAGCATTCCTTTTTCTATGATTTTCCCTGATAGTTGTACATTCTTCAATCCTTGAGTACTTTCTTCCTTTCTGCTCTTCCTCAACTCTAAAGTCATTCTGTACAGCTTGTACCTCTACTTTTGATCTTTTTATTTACATGGACTGTTTGTTTCCTAATCCAAAGTCTCTGTGGTCCTGATCTCTACAACTTCCTCTTTCTGTCTTCATTAGCCTTTATCCCTTTCTGAATTTACTTCAGAGCTGCCAAGGATGTCAAGGAGGTCCTCACCACAGTTGAAGCTCCCTTTTCCTCATACACTTTTCTTGGATCTTGAAACCACATAAGTTCAACAGACTTACAGGTGAAAGAGGGTCAGTTTTCTAGGCCCTCCTCATAATCTATTTGGAAAGCTTAGAGACTTGGTGGAGAAGGTTGAGATGATAAAATTAACTGGAGAAATAAAATTTATCTGAGCTGAGAAGAACAGCTGATGTTACACTATAACTGTTCACTTTCAGGCGTCATAAATATTTTGGTTTTTAAAGTCAACTGTGATACAGTTTTGGGGGCATGCAGTAGACTCCATCACTGGAGTCTCTTCCATAGCAGCAGTTTTGTTGGTGCATTTCAATGGTGCATTAACCCTGTTGCTGCAAATTCTGCTGGAGAAGTAATCTGCTGCGGCTGTGTGCTGGTGGGTTGTGTGGAGCTGGCAGAGCAGAGTTTAAATTCTTGCTTGGTATGTGGGCAATGTGTTGCCCATCAGACTCCCAGTCTGCTTATGTCCTGTGTATGTTTCTGATAGTCCCAGAACAAAAAAATTGTGTGAGCCTTTCCTGCTTCTCCTGTCGGGAGGGAATTGGGAAGCTAATTTTACCAAGTCCCTACATAAATTTGTTTTCCCATCTTATATAGAGATTCTCTTAAGGAGAGAGCAAGAAACATTGTTTGTGATATTGTCACACTCCTGATGCTGCATGCACTGATTTTATTCTCTGTCCATCAAGACATTTTCTTATAATTTACAATTAGAGAAAACGTGTGCTTAAGAGATGGATTAGGAAGTACAGGCAGATCCTGGAGCTATCCTGGAGGAGAAAGCATTTATAAGCAGAAGAGAATTATGCTTAGATTGGTAGAGCAGAAATACGTCATTGACAGTGTCTCTGGGTTTAGCTGAAGCTCCGCTAAGATTTATGTGACCTCAAATATGCCTAGGCCTGACTTGTTATTTGGTTTGCATTCCTCATGTGTTAGTTTATACAAAATAAGCAGGTCTATGCATTTGTCTGCTTCCTTTCTGAGACAAAAGAAGTGAGAAATAGATGAAATCTTGACTTTTGTGCCCATGATAAGTAGATCAACATACAACAAAACAACAGTGTTATTTACTAGTCACTTGCATTTTATACCCATCACAGGACAAGGCACAAACTGGGAAAGAGCTCTGATGTGGGTTACCCTTCCCTGGAGACATTCAAGGCTGGATGGGGCTTTGAGCAACCTGGTCAAGTGGGAGATGTCCTTGCCTGTGGCAAAGGGGTTGGAACAGGATGATATCTAAGGCCTGTTCCAATCCAAAGTGTTCTATGATTCTGTGTAGGAGGATGTAATGTAATTTCTGTTATTCAATATCTCTTGAGCTCTTTTAAAAGGTCCATTCAGAGCCCTGGAGCCCTGCCTGCTCTGCATTGCTCTGCACTGTGTCAGAAGTTATTTCTCTTAATAGCTCTTAACTTTTTGTTCCTCTTTATAATGTTTATAAAATATGTGGGCAAAAGGCAAAATGGACATGTAAAGTTTTTTCTTTTTAAATTGGAGACACTTCTATTTTTATCCCTTTCTCGCATGTAGCAGGGATTATTTTATTGCAGGGAAATGCCATACCTGCAGGCAGTAGCTACCTCCCACTATATGGAATAACCTTTGTTGCTGCTGACTTCAAGGACATCTCAGGCTGTTAATTCAATGGTTTCTAAAGTTAATTATGGCCTTCACTTGTTTGATTTAGGTTTACCCTTTCTGAATGTTGTTTCTGAAAAAATATGTATTCTTGAGCAACCGACACAGAGACAATGGCCCACATGTTTGGGCAAAATAATAGGAAACTTCGTGTCGTGGTGGAGGTCAGATGACTGGAACCACCCAAACACTGCAGTGATCTGCCAAGAATGCTCGATTGCTATTATGGGAAGACTTCTAGAAAGGGCATGCAGTTAATAAGAACAATTAGAAAATGTTGTATTTACGGAATTGTTTTTATCCTGAGCCAGCTAACAGCATTTAACTCATCCAGGTTTCTAGGGCCATCCTGTTAAGAGTTCATAGCAAGTTTGTCTAAGTCTGCTTCAGTAGCATCCATGTTCATGGAGGTTATGTTAACTGTTCAGTTGTGCTGTTTTGCAAAGCAGATTTCTAGATACAAGAACATCCTGAGGCCTGAGAAAAAAAGCAGTCCTCTTCCAAAAAGAAAATTGGCTTCTGGGCATCCTGAAGCAAGGCAGTTTGTTCCTCTAGTGGCACAGTGCTACAGGTGTTGCTGCAGATGTCACTTTTTTATTTTAATTCTCAGCAGAAAATGTATTTGAAAAGAAATGTTCTCTTGAAATAGAGGAAAGCAGGAGAGAATGAAAGATTGATACGGGATGATTCATCTGGTTACAAGAATGAATCTGTAAAACTCTGATAGCTCAGACATTATAGTAATTCCTATTTCAAATGAATTTAATTTCCAGAATGCTTGTTTCATTTTAACATTTCATCAACAGCACTGGCCAAGATCTCATAGCCTGCAACAGAAGTAGATGTGCAAGTGCACTTGAAGTCAAACAGTTTTTCAGAAATCTCTCTCTTCCTCAGGGCTTATATACAGTCATGCTTGTTAAGGTCCTGTAGGAGAAAGGCAATACTGAAACTAGAATTGAAATTATGGCAGGCATAATAATTTTTCTTTGAGTTAGAGTGGCAAAGTTATTCAAAAGGAGAGTGCCATGCATGTGTGCGTGTGAGAAAGAGAAGTGGAAAGTTTTGCATGTGCTTTACTTCTGTTTCCCAAAGAGAAGTTTAAAGTTGCAAAGATAAACAAACAAATAAATAAATAAATTTAATCACTCCATTTGTGATAATTCAAAAAGTTTATTGGTTCACACATCCTGAGAAGTAAAACTAACATGATTTTCTTTATTTTTTATTCTGTGCATGGTAATGATAAAGTTAAATGCTCATCCCGTATGTTGTGGTAATTACACAGCAAAGTTATTTAACCACAGGTAACGTGGGGAGATTTGATGAAAAGTGCATTATTTCATATAAAAAGTCCTTAGATATTGCCACAAAAGTCTGATGATCAGACAGTGTTGCTAGCTGTGAATCGTTTCACTGTTAGTATACATCTACCATTGTTACTGATCAGAGGTTTCTAATTTTAATGAATTGTAACTGTTCCACTCCAAAAAGTCACTAAGACCATTCTAAAATGCCTTGCTCTTCCTATTCATTTTATTGAATCTATGTTTAAAGCAGGACTAAACCTCATTTGATCCTAAATGCTAACAAAATTATAAGGAAGATGGTTTTGTTTCAAAATGTCTAAGAGATCCAATGTTTAGTTAACTGATTAGAAACATATTACATTGTCATTATTATTATTATAGACACAGGTTTTACTGCTGAGTGAGAAGTATTGGCATGCAGATCCAAGTCCAAATTTATTCAGCAGGACAAGAATTCAGGCTCTCTGCGTCCAGAATTTGGTTCAGCAAAAGCTTGGATCTGAATCTGCCCCTAGAACTGAGGTCTGGAATTACGATCACTTGTAGGGTTGGTTCTTGGATCAGTTCCCCAGATTTCTGCCTTGTTTGTTTTCCCAGGTGTGATGAGTACGTCACGCAGCTGGATGAGATGCAAAGGCAGTTGGCAGCTGCAGAGGATGAGAAGAAGACCCTAAACTCTCTGTTGCGCATGGCTATCCAGCAAAAACTTGCCCTTACCCAACGACTGGAGGATTTAGAGTTCGACCATGAGCAGTCCCGACGCAGCAAAGGCAAGCTTGGAAAGAGCAAGATCGGCAGCCCTAAAGTAAGTGAGGAGGCATCAGCCACCGTGCCAACCATAGACACTTTCCTCCTGCATAGTCAGGGCCCACAGCAGCCAAACTTACTGGTCAGCAGTGGCACTCAGAGGAAAAGGTATGCATGCAGCGATCTTTATAGTACAGTGCAGTGTCCAGACTTTCATTGAAGTCGTTCACTGAATTGTAAACATTCTCTTTTTGGTTTTCTTTTCTTTTTTATACTTTGAGTGGGGAGAAGGAGGTGGGGAACATATGAATACAGAATTCAAAGCCTGGCAACATGTGGTTCTGGTCCACCTATTCACAATGTTATTTCCTCCTTCCTAATGCAGTGTTTTGCATTATATTGTGTTGGTGTCTCAGTGCATCTTGTGTGTCTTTAATATTAGTGTAAATGTATTTTCTTTAACAACTCTTCCTTAAGTTTCCCTTAAGATTTTCCATAATGAGCATCTGAAATCTAAAAGAATTGTTCTGTATGAGCATTTCAGTGCTTAACACAAAAGAAGTTGCATCTCTTTGTTAAGCTCTGATGCTCACTTGCTCTTCATCAGTGCAAAAAAGAATATGGATGTGTTCACTCTGATCAATTTTTCTGCATAGGAGCAAGCAACCTTTTGAAGGGGGATGGCTGTTATTCATAGCCTAATGCAAATATTTTGCTATTTAAGCAGTGAGTTCTCATCTTGTCTTGTGACTGTCCTGCCAAAGCTCTATAGCTGTGGGAATCCATGGTTCTGAAGACAAAAAGGACTCTGCTAGAGAAGTCCTAGATAATCGTTCATTTTTCTTATATGTTCTAGTCACAATGCAAAAGTAAGAGAACATGCTGGGAGCCTTGTACGTATCAACTCCGGGATGCTGAGATATAAGTCAACCTCATCTCCTCCTCCCCTAATATGATTTGCAGTGCAGTCAAGGTGCTCTGCCGTGGAAATGTCACTGGGTGGCAACAGTAGTTGGTTTTTACCTATTAAGCAAATTAACACAATATTGTCATTGATGAGGTTTTGAAAGGTAATTAAAGTAAAACTCTTTTGTTTCCATATGTATTTTTCTTGGATCTCCTGCAAGACTATTCTCACCTTCCCTTTGTGATCAGAGCCATCCCAGGACTTCAGGGACCTACCTCCAGAAATTATTAAGAGCCCCCCCTCATCCCGCCTCCACAGAATCATATCTTCTGAGGGGTCCCCCTTCCATGAGTGAATTCATCCATGGGCACCGTCTCAGCAAGGAAAAAAGGTTAACCGTGGCCACACCAGGTAAACATTTTTTCCTTGGGTGCATGTGGTGCTGAGTGGTTAGCAGAGCAGGGGACCCTCCCAGCACTGCAGATGCAATCTAATTTGGGTACCTTCTTGCGACTTGAACAGCAAAATGTCTTCTCCTGTGTCTTCTGTAGCAGGAGCTGACATTCTGCCAGCTGTGGCCCAAACTGGTTCCAAATGCAGTGGGGGAAGTCCCACTGTGGAATACATGCGTGCAGTCCTGCTGGCATCCACAGAGGCTGCACCCCTGTGCTTAGATGGTGCTTGGCTATGTTGATAGTCATCAAAGGAGACTCTACCGAACAAGACAGAGAAGTCAGAGGGATGAGGACTAAGGATGGAGTTGCTGGCATTGTCCATCTCCAGTGGACAGGAGCCCACACTGCAGTATTCAGTCAGGTTTTTCTAAGGTGTAATGTCAAACTCAGATGATCTAGTTTATATAAACTGAGTTGTGAAGTGTTATCTTCGCAGGAAGCTTTTGCTCTTCCTTTCCTGCCAAGCTGTAGTATCTGCTTAGAACAATGTGCAGAAAGGAAATCCAAACTGAAAGCCATTTCAAAGGTTGTGACATCTTTCTCCTGACAAAATAATAACTACTTCTCTTCTGTGCCTGTGCAGAACTTTTAGCCTGCAACTATGCACATCTTTTTCATTTAAATTTTTGAGATTTCTTATATACAAAAAGCAGAAGTAGAATATATAAAAGCTAAAATCCATGAAGTGCTTTCTGCTAAAGTAAAATCTATTCCAGAAAGCTGAGCAATACCCTAGAGTATATTATATCTCAGTGCCATTATACCACCTTTGAGTAGTGCCATGCTGGTAATACTCATAACACTCATAAGGACAAGTGTAAAACTGCAGTTAGTATTTCTGCTAAGGAGTGTTGCAATAAGTAAATGGAAGAGCTGGTTCCTGTGAGGAAAAGGGTGGGTAGGAAAAAGCAAAGACTTTAAAATTTGTAAAATAAAAGGTACAGAGCTTTTGTGAAGAAGTAGAAGGAAGTAGACCCTCAAATGGCAATCTTCTACCATACATTTTACAAGATCTCTACTTGTAATTGTACTTCTGATGTACAATTTACAAGAGACCACTAGGCCAAGGAAAAATGGTGTTTAATCCAAGGACTTGATGACCCTTGTGTGAAGACACGTGACCTCTGTATCGGATCTGCTCTTTGATGGTTAGAAGAAGCAATGATTTAAAAAGAAGACTGCTCAACAGATAAGACAAATTTACTGTTCTGCAAAATTGTTAGTAATAAATATATGCATTTTACATTACATAGTAAAATATGTAATCTTTGAATATGGAACTCTAGGTCCTGACTTTCTTTATGCATTAAATTTTTGTCCCCATTTTTGTGGGGACATCACAGATTCACAGGCCACAGATTGAGAAACACTGGCACAGCCTCTCTGACTTCTTGTGGTAACAGAGGCCAAGGGATAACGCAGCTTGAAAAGTAGAATTGCCTAGAAAATATATTTGTTTAGAGTCTCATCTGACACTTCAGGTACATCTTTTTAAGTGTAGAGGCTTGAGACAGTGCTACTGATTTATGTTACAGTTTCCCTTATGATCATAAAACAGTCAACTTTCTGACTGCATTTGTCAAAACTGTATTCCATTACATGGACTTGGTCTCAGCCAGGCATCCTGTGAGCCTGACAGGTTCAAACCAGTGATTTATTTTGAGCACTCCAATTCCATTCTCAGCAGAGCACATGTCAGAATCAGGTAGAGGATCACCATCAGTCTTGCCAATTCCTGGAAGGTTATTAACAGACCAAAGGAGTAAGACACTAAGTAGGATTTTATGCGTTCTGTCTAGTTATCCTTTTTTCCTGAAGGTAAAAGAAACAGTAAAAGACGGTATTCTGCTGCCTTTAGGGAATGTTTAAAATGCCTGCTTGTAACAAAGAATTTATTTTTTCAGATGATATATGCAGTAAAACAAACAAGCAGCGTAACAACTCCCACCTTCTTGGGTGGGTTTTCCATAGCACTGAGCTTGCCAGAGTACAAGAAGCATCTGGACAGTCTTTTCAGACAAATGGTCTAATTTTTGAGTGGTCCTGTCTGGAGCCAGGAGTTGGACTCAATGATCCTGACGAGTCTCTTCGAACTTAGGCTGTTCTATGATTCTTCTTCATCACAGAGATGACCAAAGAACTATGTCCAAACTCATACGCTAGGAGTGGAGGGAGAATGAATCAGGCCAAAATTAATTGTGTTGGGTTTCAGTTTTGTTTTTTAAAGTCATGAAAGGTTTCCATCTTCTGAAGATTTCAGCCTCATGATATGTGTGATTTGCTATCTTTTCATTAGCTCCTAGTACGGGGGGCTGCGAGGCTGTAGCTGGGAATGCATTTGATGGAGACCAAGAGCCAGAATGCTGCTTTCTTCAGAGGTAGATCCTGGCATGAAGAATCATGAAGCCCTGAAGACTCACTTCTGAATTTAAACTAAGGGCCTTTCAAGAGAGTAATTTCTTACTTGATTTCCCCTTGACTGCCCTCAACTTTGAATCAGCATGCATGTCCATCTGACATCAAGCTGTGGCAATATGACCTTATCTGGGCCTTCTAATTGAATTAATGGCTCCTAACCACTGTGGCTAAATATATCACTCAGCCATTTCCAAAGTATCGCTCTTCGTTTCCTCTAGGTAATACCCTAGGTAATGGTATGCATATAGTTTTGCCGTGCATTTCTTTTTCCCATCTGTTATTAACGTGTATTTTTACCCATCAAAATCTTTATTCTTCTGATAGAGAGATCCAGCCTGTATTTGTCCAACAGAATTCCAGCCTCCTTTTGCACGTTGCTTTTTTCACAATTACCTGAAGAAATCAGGGCATAAAGAAAGACAAAGGCTGGTTTTGGCATTCTGTAACACTGAATTAAAAATGACCTTTTATTGCAGTTGTATTCAAAATCCTTTCAAATTTTCATATACAGGGCTTGAAAACAAAGTCAGTAGATATCTCCTGTTATCTTACAGTCAGAAAAAATGAAATATGCTTCTCCTGACTTCTTCAGGAAAAGAACAAGACAGAAAAAGACTACTATAAATGCCTTGATACTAGTTTTTTTTTTTATTTTTTTCTATCTATTACTTTAGGATGGAAATTCTCAAAGTTGAATTTAAAATTCTCCAATTCTGGTTGAAGAATTGTGTACAGTCAAATATTTTACTTTATTGAAGTAGAAAAAGGTAGAAAATATGTGACACATTTCTCTCAAATCCGTAGCCCATCTGAGTTCTCACATTTGTTTTGACACAACCTGGTTTAGCCAATCAAGTTTCTACAGAACTATCTTGATTTACTCCAGTTTTTGTTCTGTAGGTTTTAGATTTTTAATTTTTTTTTTCCATTTTTGCAAGACCATTTCATAGAATGATGTTTCTAAAGCTTGTAAAAATAAAAGCTACTTTTAATGGCTTTTAACAGCTAATTTTGGAGAACTGTTCTTTTCGTAAAACACATTAAACATGAAAGTTTGCTTGATTTTCAGATGTCTTTCAAGGCTGTTTTACAGAATGGCTTTTACTTCTCCTGAGAAGAGACTAATGTGGAAGATAAAGACAACTCAAGGAGTGCCATATAATAGCACAACTGCTCAAGCACTCAGATCATCACTTCTTGTACATAATTAAAAGTATATGTATATCTTAACAGAAAATCATCCAAGACTAATTTCTGCTGTAGCTCTGTTACATTCAA